GGCTCCAATGGGCTGATACTCAACCTGATGTGATACTGTATTTCCCCCGGGCTGTGAGGGGCATTATTTTTTAGGCCGGGTTTAGTGGCGTGGCGTGGGAAATCCGATAATCCAGATGCCTCACAATTATGTTGAGTTTTCTCTAGTATGATTTTTCAGCTTTTGTATAGTTAAATTGACGCTTTTTCTTGACTACCTGAAGCGGCTTTCAAAATTTTATCATGGAGAAATTTATATGCTAATGATGGTAAAGTTCGTGGTGTTTTTAGGACGAATTTAGTGACTGGATGTGGTCTAGAGATCTCCACTATTTTCTCCATTTAAATAGTAATAATACTTTTTTACTCCTCTTCATAACGACTTTTCTACATATCTACATTTTTTAAAATCCGAGGAAGCTTTTTTATGCTAGTTAGTGTCAATAACTGTGCGTTTTTTTCTTCTTTCCCAGGCAGTGGGTTTACGTCAATAAAAATTCGAAAACCCAGAAGGCTTTTTGAAAAAATTTACATGTAATCAAGGATAAATTACGGATTTTGCCTGGGGTTTGAAGGTGTTAATCGATACTAGAGAACTGTTGCACTTTACAGGGTGTTTTGTTCACTACTAATCTCTACAAATCTTCGTGTGTTTTTGCTCCAGATCTGTTTGTTTTCTAAAATTTACACAGTATTCTGTATGACGCCTCTGCTCACGCAGAAATTGTTGTTCATTTTCATGGTTGGAAATTCGCAAACCCGAATTTTTACTATGATGAGAGACGCCTGCATCAAATATGACGAGATAATTGCCTATTCCTGAAGGTATTTTCGGATTATTTACCTACGTGCATATCGACCCTCAACACCCCCAAAAAACTATCGGCTTTTCCCACGGCTCCAAGGGGGCCAGACACACCGGACCCTCGGCCATTTTTTGTCGGGCTGGCTCGCCCTGGACCCCGACGCGATTCCACGCAAAAATGTATACGATTGCTGGAATCAATACCTCCGCTTTTCAGTTGTCTATGAGATGCCAACTTCCATGTTCCGTTATACGTTAGCGCTTTTCTAGAATTATTTAAGAGAAGCTTTTCTAGTGATCCGTTTTTCTAAGGATAAATTGTTAATGTCTTTTTTGTTTTTACGTTCTTAGTATTAACCTTTTGTTTTCCGTTAGAACGCAAGTGAAACTTTCTTATTAACTTTTTTTTTGCAGAAGAGAAGTATGGAGAAACGAGAAACGCGAAAACGAAATCGATCAGGTTCCGGCCAGGTGGGTGTTGTACTTTGAATTCCCGATTTTTTTACAGAGCAGTCTAGTTTCTAGTTTGTTATTTAGCATCGTAGCCAAAACTGTGACAAACAAAGCTATTTCCAAGCGTCTGACTCATATTCGGGACGTGGCAGCGAAACACAATACAGGGCTTCCGGGTGAACATTACACAACTAGCGACAGACGAAATTCACACTGGATTTGGGTTATAATACTAAGAAATGGACTTAAAAAGGACGTCTTATTAATGTTTGCTTAAAAAAAACGTCTTCAATCGCTTTCTATCTGCCTGTTCAAGATTGTCAAACGTCGGGTATTTGACAATTCCTCCATTGCAAAACGTAATGGCACTCGATTTCCGTCGAACAAGGCTAGCTTTCTAGCCCGTTACCTAGAATATTACAACCATTTTCAAAAACAGGTAATTTCCACTCCGAAATTTGAGACCGATTCTCCCAGGGCTCTGCCCCATCAAGATTGACTAACCGAGTGGCTCCCTGCCCCTACTAGCTGTCTCGCCGGATGTCTGCGCTCTGGCCCGCTCTCTTCCCTCTTTTCTCGGCCATCGTTCGATTTTCGGGGGTCTCCTCTTTGGTGGTGCTCTATCATCACTGTCTGGCCCCTAGTGTCTCGCTCAAGAAAGATGGAGCTTCGATGGGCTTTTTCAACAACGTCGTTCTGCCCCCCGTCTTGCATTGGCATCTCGAGAAATTGGCTTGAGGAGGGAGGATTTTGAGCGCATTAATGAGAGGTTTCGATCTTCTCTTAACTCTAACTCGCGATCCCAAACTAGCTTTATAGCATTTCTAAGCTCTCTCGGCCACTCTTCTCCCCTCTCCTCCCCCTCCCTCTCCCTCCCTCTCTCTCTCTCTCTCTCTCTCTCTCTCTCTCTCTCTCTCTCTCTCTCTCTCTCTCTCTCTTTCTCTGATATGCTTATCTCTTTCTCAGGTTTCCCGAGATCTTCTGAAAGTGGGTTCCGGTTTTAAAGGGACTAGAAAGCCAAGAAATAAGCTATCGATTTTTCAGAGGAAATCTGGCGTCTTTATGAGAATTAGTCTTCTATGGCTTCCAAATCCCTTTAAAAGGCAGCAAAAATAGGATTAGCAAACCCAAATTTGTCAGAAACGTTAATTTTCCGCAAAAGCCATCATTGCGTCTTTTCTCTCCTGCTTCCTCTCCTCACTCTCTCCTTTCCCCAATTCTCTCCAAAGGCATCCAGCTGTCCCTAGCCCAGCAAGCTTATCCAGCGTTTACTTTACACGAAAATGCTTCTCCTGGTCTTAGTTTCCCGTTCCCGACTTCTCAAATGTTCAACCCTCTCGCTCTCTCTCTCTCTCTCTCTCCCTCCCTCTCTCCAGCTGATCCATCGCAAATGCCCTAGTCGGTCTTTGTGCTCGCAAACCTCCTCCCAGCCGCTCCACCCACCCTAGTCGTGCACTCAGCTGATTCCTCTCTTCTCTCTCGCCACTTTCCCTGTCCCTCTCACCTCTAGCCTCTCTCTCAACCCCTCACTCTCTGGCCCTCCAAAAGCTAGTGCTCTCTCCCCGCTACCCTGGCCACATCCACACAACACATACTGCACACAGCCTAGGCGAGCGAGTGGGGAGGAGAGAGAGAAAGAGAGAGAGAGAAAGAGAGAGAGAGGAGAGAGAGAGAGAGACAACCCGGCCTCACGAGACCCCCATCCGTGCCCCTCGTCCTGGCTGCCCTGCCTGCTGCTGCCCCCTTCTTCTTCGCCTCGGCCATTTTTAAGCCGACTGCCCCTGCCCGGACCCCTCAATTTTCCCCCTACTTAATTTGATACCTATATTTGGTTGTATATTACAGTATACTACTGCCTAGAGGGAAGTGAACCCACCGCACTTCCCCGACCCAAGCGAAGGTGAGAGATGGTGGAAAAGTTGGAAAATCGCGAAAATTGGATTTTCAGAATTTTTTAGGGACTTTTTGGCGGTTTTGGATAACATTTAAAAACCGGAATAATTTGAATGTTATTTTTGAGCTGTTCCTCTTGTAATTTCGGTAGAGTTTAAGGTGGAAATTACGTGAAATTTGTAAAATGCGAATTTTTGCACAAAAGTGAGATCTTATCAACTCAGCGGTATTTCAAGAATCTTTGTGCTTGGAATTAACATATATTATAGGGTTTTTTTTATACAATAAATCGAGTAATTCGAAGCGCTTGTCTAATTTGGATTGCATCGATTAATCGAATTTTTACAAAAATATGTATTTTAATAAGTTTCAGGCTTAATTTCGATGATGTTTACAGTTTCAGTTTCTTTGTTAATCAGATGAGTTTAACTCTATGTAAATTTTGAAGTGCTAAAACGGCAAAAATCTACTTTTTTGTGGGGTTTAAAGTGTGTTTTAGCTATTTCAGGCACGAATTATCGATTTTTCGTGAAGGTTACGATACAAGATCTTGTCGTTTTTCACTATTAAGCTTATTTTCCTATATCATGCTCCTTTTTTGCTATTGATCGGGGCGGCACCCGGTCAGAACCCGGGTCGTCAGCGCGGACACGATTTATTGCCGCGCCGCGCCTATTTTTGGTGTCGCCCCGGAAAATCGAATCCCCTTACCCCCACCCGGATCATGTGACTTTTGCAGTTCGCGTTACTGTACGCAGTGCGTGTTGTAAGATGTACAGAGTAGTGAGAAGTAGTAGTGTGATACCCGGGAGGAGGAAGTAACTTTTAAATAGGCCGGGAAAGTCGAAAAAGCTAACCTGCTAGCGATATCGGTGCATTAATGATTTTGTTTATGGAGTTCTCTACTTCAGCGGTCCTTTAAAGGGATAGTGAAGGCTCATTCTTGGCGAGAAACGATAAAAGCTATGGAGAAAAGAGAGCCAATTGAAAACTCCTGGAATTTTAAGCATTGATGACTTACACTCTGCAAAATGTTGACATTTTTTCTGACCTGTTTTTCTAATTTTTGAGATCTTGAATTCGGGAGTATCTACGAAAATTCAGAATTTGCGTTTTTCAAGGATAGCGCCAGTTGCATTTTTGAGAAAATCTTGAAGAAACGTAGAGTGGGAGCCAAAGGTTACATTCATAGCTTACCTAAAGCTGTTAGCTCGCCGACACCATCCCTTGACATGTAAATTTGAGTTAAAATTTTTGCGAAATTCCACCGACTTAAATTTTTTCAACTGTTTGCTCCTTAATGAAACCCGTATGTCCTTCCCCATCTACCGTATTTTCCTCCTATCCGATCCGCCCGGGTTGTCACTTGGTAGGGGTAGTGAAATCGTTGGTGTTTTGGCGACACTAGGCCCAAAGTCCATGCTACGCCTTCGGAGGGTAGAAGGGGAAGGGGACATACACACATCACGTGTGTGTCCGCAGATTCCCGGCAAAGAAGCGACTACACACCCTCACACCCCGCTACGTGTCGATACCCACAACGATCTTTCGACGGCTTCCTTTTCCGGGCCTTTTGGGGGAAGTTGGGTACTCCATCAATAGTGCGCCGAGCGGCGTTGCATTGATTGGCTCTTAAAAACTGAGGCTTGGGTTTAGGCAGACAAAGGCTTCGGAAATAGATTGTATGAACCCATAAAACACTTCGACAGCACCAAATCTTTGAAAAGAGCACTTAAGTATCGTTAAAGCAGTGTTATGCTTGGCTAGCGCTTTATAATCGCCATTAACTTGATAGGAAGTGCAGATTAGCCAAAAAGGATTTTTTATCCAAATCGGAAATTTGGGGAATTTATCGTCGTGATGCCTTTAAAATGTCCGTGAGGTAAAATCGTTCGTACCTTAAATACTACCTCTAGAAATGAATACAATACATCTCAATTTCTTTTTTCCAGATTTCCGGCCGTCGTCCGCCCGCCGTGGAGCTGCTCGAGGGGCTCGCTGGGAGTGAGGGCGACCTCTCCGGGCCACCGCTCGCCAAGAAGTTGAGGTACGGTAGAGACTGGGCGTATATAGTTTAGGAGCGTAGTTGGCTTCTATTAAACAGGCGAAATTGCAGTAATTTATACACTTCCGGTCAATTTTTCACGAGATTTTTTAATTCCCGGTCCTTTTGAAACCTAAAAAGCCAATTATGGGCTTTTAACGAATGTAAGTAGGAGTCAGGCGTATTTTTCATAATTAAAAGTAGTAAATGCATTGCGTTATGGTGCTCTGCACATATAGAAAGTCCTAAACCCGTTTAAAATTTCGAATGAGCGTAAATTGGCGTTAAATGTAGCGAAAAATTGGATTTTTTTAGTTTTTTGAACTTCTAAGTTTCAGGAACCTAGATTAAAATTTTTTTAAAAGATGCAGATTGTAGCCAGAAGCCTCTTTTCTAATCTGACCCACTTCAAGACTCATAAACCGAACCGGTACCCCCTAATCTAGGGGTCGATAGGCGTCACGCGGACTTTCCACCAGCCCCTTCCCACACCTGTGCTCGCCGCCCAGGCTGGCTGGCTCAGCTGACCGGGTTGTGTCTATCTGCTCGTCTTCTTCGCCTCCCCTTTTCGTATGTGTGTGTTGCTCGTCATTTCTCTCTTTCTCTCTCTCTCTCGCTCTCTCTCGCCCGATTTCGCTCTCTCCCGCAACCTTCCACCCAGACCTGCCACACCATCGATTTCCCATCGAAAATATTGCCGGGGCTAACCGGAGGATGCGGGTTGTTTGTTTGGGTTAAGGAGGTGGTAATTAGGCATTGTCTCGGTAGTTCTGTAGTTTGGAGTCTAAAAATATCGGAAATCTATCTGATTACGTCATGCAAATCGTAGTCGTGATTTTTGACGCTTTTTAATGGATTTTTATTCTTCTAACATTTTGGATATTTTTCGCTTCCAAACAAATTTATATCATGCGCCCGATCTGTATTTTGCATAAAAAACAAATAAAAACCAAAAAACTAGGTTTTTACGATTCTAATAGAATTTATATCGCGTTTACGACGAATTTTCATGATTTTTGATGAGTCTGCATCTAAAAGATTTCATAAAAATATTGGGATACGGAAACAAGATAGCGCTGCAATTACAGATAAAATATTAGGTTGGACCGAAAGTAATTGTAATCGACTTTCGGGTCAATTTTTCTAGTAACCCCACCAAGTAACTGACTAATTTTTAGCTCTGCAACTTTTTTTATAATTTATTTAGCCCAAGGGCGCCGGTCCACCGAGGGGCGACATCCGGGATTCCTCTTTCTTTCCAGCCTTATAACACCTGTTATTGTCGGAATCTCCCAAGCGTAATTTTTATTGTATAATGCCAGTTTAATATCTTTCTGACTATGGTGCCCAATTCAGCTAACGGATTTGCAGTCGGCCGATATTCTCAATTATTTGGATAAAAATCCGACTTTTCGGTGAGCTTGACTAAAATGCTCTCTTAAATTTGTTGAGGACAATGAAATTAAATCTGATCTATTTATCATAGGCAGTTTTTAATGACAAACATACTACCAATTCCAGCTATCTTGCCACCCTTCTTTATCTGAACAAATTTGCAAATTGGTGGAGGCACCGTGACCGACCCGGAGATCGGCTGTCGACACACATTTTGCATTGCCACTTTTTCACCTTTGCCAATCAAGGTTTTTATATAGTGCAGTATTATTGGTCATCTACAGTAGATACTGTGTTAAAATTACCAATACCCTAAACCCATTCTTTCGCGGAGAAAAAAAATAAAACCAAAATGTGCTCCAAATTAGGATTCCTGTCTCGATTCCAGACGGAGACAGAACATTTGCTCTTAGGTGATTTACGGGCATTAAACAGTTTTACCTAAGCGTCATTTTGATAAAGTCCACTCAAAAAGTTATCCACGAAACTCGGAGAAAACGGCCGACAAAGGCATGTGTCGATTTGTAGCCCGAAACCCCAGATTGACATCTTTTTAAATTGGCCTGGGAAAAATAATGCAGCTAGCTATTAAAATTTTCTTTAATGCACTGCATAGCCCAAAATTTTCTCTATTTACTGTCACTTATTCAGGTCACTAGGGTCGGAACGGCCGGCGATATCCTTCCCGGCATCCAAACACCCGAAATCCGCATTGCGTGCACCCCCTTCGAGCTAATTAAAAAATTTGTGGCAATCCTGGGTTAAAACTATAACTGAAACTGGACAATGCTTGACCCTGCATTCATATAAAAAATTAGAATAAGAATATGGTAATTCCATAAAATTTTTACAATCGAAAAATTACAATTACTTTCGGTCCAACCTAATAGAAGCTTAAAACCAGCAATTCCACGCTGATGACATTCGATTTGTTTACCGCGTGCGCCTCATCCCCAGTCGGGAGCTCTAGTGCTGCCCCCTCGGGGTCCTCCCAGATATTTTTGCCCTCTTTGTCTTTCTCTGCTTCACTCCCTCTCTGTCGCTCTCTCTCTCGCTCTCTCTCTCTCTCGCCCCCTCTCCCCTCTCTAGCTCCCGTGCTCGCCTCACCGCAGGGCTGAAAAATAGCCGCACAAGCCGCACACAAATAAGCCACACCACCGCCGTCCGCCTGGTCACGCGCTTTTTTGGACTGGTCGAATTGGCATGGGACATTTTGGGGATTAAGAATAGCTTTTGCCATCTTATGCCGTCCTGAAAACTTTGATATAAAAATATAGAAACACCAAATGTACTTGAAATTCGATCTTTGCGAGCTAATTTCCGAAAATCTTGTTGTTACAAAACTAAATAAATTGTTTAACCTTCAAAATATTTTTTCGAGTGGCATGGCGCCAGTTTTATGCACATTTTTGTATATTTTTATATGGCATAGTTAACTTATTTTGCCGTATTCCTAACAGGTACTTTTCCCCCCCCCTTATTTTACAGTACTCCGGAATTCCGGGCTTAAGGTAAAAAAATGGATAATTTTCCTTCAGAAATTTTAACAGCTTGTTTTCTACGTTTTCAAAAACCGGTTTTTACATTTTACTGGCTACGCTTACTGCTTTTTATGGGTAATCAATTTTTTCTCCTTTTTTCTACGTGCTCTCCTCGGCCCCTGGGGGCTGCACTTTTGCGTCACGTGACCAAGAGCGGGGTAGTTCTCACTTCCCACTTCCATAAAAAATTTGTGAAAATCAATTTTGTGCTGGGTTTACTGGTTTTTAACCTTGGTGGAAGTAAAATGCATATTTCCTAGTTTTCAACATGCTTAGAACACGAAAAATGGTTTTCTCGACAATAATTTCAATTTTTTTGGGGTTTCACCATTTGTAAAATCGAGGTTTTGGTCTTATAAATTACGCTACCTAAATTTACGATACATATAACATTTTCTAAACGTCCTTAAATTGTTTAATTTCTGTATTTCCAGAATGCAATGCACGCTGAGCCCGCCACCCGGCGGCGCCCGCACCGTGGCCCAGCGGCTGAAGGAGTCGTCCTTGAAGGTACTATATCTTGCTACTTTTACCTTTAAAAACCTGAATTCTAAGGTTTTTGACACTTAAAACAAGCTAAAAACAAAAACTATTAGTATGCGTGGAGGTTCAAGTTATATTTTTCCAGGAAACTCCCTCCAGCTCGGCCCCATCCACCTCTGACGGCCGAAATGGGCAAGCCAAACCACACCCGGCGCTCAATCGACGGCAGCAGAATACGATTCGATTGATCGCACAGTACCTACGGGACCTAGGACTACAGTATGATTCGATAAACCTATCGTAATCAGACTACTCCAATGAGTGAGTCCGTGGAGTCGCTGGTTGAGGAGAGCGGGTGCAAGGTGGAGAACGCGAGGGCCGTACGGCTACGAGAAGCGGTAAGTCGGAGTATAGCGGAATAGATCTGTAATTTGAGATTCGACTAAAAAATGAACGAAATTTAAATTTAAAGTACATGAATTACAGTTAGTTAATTGTCATTTTAAAAATTCGCGGTTTAATCCATTACCATATGTAAATCGAAACGTCGATTACAACTTAAAAAAACCCAATCCGCTTACCGTATGAAAATCAAGCCTAATCGCCTACGACATCAAAAGGATCCAATCGATTACGATATGAAAATCTGGTTTAATGGCCTACGACACTAAAAAGGATCGGTCTAATCGGTTACGATATGAAAACGAAAGCCAGAAATTCGGAGAAATGATTGAAATTATACTCTTTATTCCACTATTTAAGATCATGCGCGGTCACTGGAATGAGGCGTTAGCTGTGCTCGAGAAGTCCTACCAATTCCTGAGCCCTCTACGAGGCTCGAAACGCTAAGCTGATCATACTCGAGGAGAAGTTTTTCGAGCTCCTCAGCAAGGGAGAGGTAGTGATTTTAATGTCTCATTTTAAAAGCATTCAGAACACCCTGGCGATGAAGCTGATGCCGGAGGAGTACATTCGAATCGAGCACTCGCTGAGGACGAGACGCACCGAACTCGTTGGAATGCTTTTTCTCCGATGCAAATGAGCTTGGCAAGCACCCGGAGATCAAGAAGTTTGAGTGAGTTTTAGAAATTGAATTATAGCTAAATTTAAAGGTTTAAGTAGTATAATTTAAAGAATAGATAAGTCTAAAAACTTTCAGGGGCTGGGAAGACAAAATTTTCTTATTTTACAAGATTGTCTGGCATTAAATGATAGGTTTCAAGGATTTATCCGATTTGTAAGTAGATGCTTTAAGTTCGGAGTTGCTATAAACGTGAATCTACCAATACAACTATTTCTACAACTTAATTCCGATTTTTCAGCTCCAGAGACGCCCATTGGCGTCGTCGCCTCGCCATCCGGGTCCAAAAACAGCTGGACCCCGCCTACATGCTGCCCTGCAAGCGGTTGGAGCAGCTCACTGACCAAGGTATGGATTATCCAGTAACAATCGCACTCAAATTTTGTAAAGCTATCCCCTAGAAAATGTGAAAATTTATCTAATTTTTGTGTTTTTAGCCTTCAAATACCAAGTCCGGAAGTGCCGACTCCACTTGACAACGACCACGTGAAATGGCTGACGATGCCATTTTCCGGAATCCGACAACACCGAGGCCAATAAGCCGTTGTTTAAGCGCATCAGGTTTGTGAAAATTAGCAACATTTTTGGGTAAAGGGACTTTTAAAGACAGCTTTTTAACAATTATACGAAAAAACATTGCTTTGAACGTATAATTTTCTTAAAAAATAATGGGAAAATCCATAAAATCAAATAAATTCCTAAAATTGGGCAAGCAAATGAGAGTTCCGTAAATTGTGCCAAATACAAAATTATAGATCCTCGAAAAACTTTGTAGCGAGATTTATGTCGTCAATTCTCGCCCGACGGCAGCAAGGTGGCCAGCGGGTCGAAGAATGGAGAAGTTATCATCTGGCAGGTTAGTCTCCCTCTCTCTCTCTCTCTCCTCCTCTCTCTCTCTCTCTCTCCCCCCTCTCTCTCTCTCTCTCTCTCTCTCTCTCTCTCTGCATCCCCTCTCTCCCCAATTCATCATTTCTAGGTCGACCAACGCTCCCGAAAACTCGGCGATCCCGTTCTCATCCGGCACAACATGGACCTACATGCTGATGATGATCTAGACCGTACTGCGGCCTCTGACGTCTTCTGCATTTCCTGGAGTCACGATAGTCGATTTGTGGCGGTCAATGGACAAGACAGAAATAGAGATGGAGATGTAAGACATTCTGTGATTTTTAGGGATTTTAAGGGACACTTTGAGTGCAAACTTGCAGAGGTTTTCTCAGGAATTTTGATGCAAAAAGTCATATTGAGTGGATTCATATTGCTTAAATTGTTTTAAATATAGAAATTCCTAATGTCGGTCCGTCCGTCCACGAATTCAGCCAAATCCTGCATTCAAATCCAAAATTCAAATTGTGGGGGATAAGGGCCAGCGCTGATGTTGCTTAAATTTGGATGCAAAAATTTATAATGTACTTTTAGGCCTGGGTCTACTGCACCGACAACAACTGCTTGCCGTTCCGGAAGATCCCGCGGGTCGCCTTCTCAAAACTGTCCGCCCTACACAGCCTTGGCTTTTACGAAAAATGGGAAGCATCAGATCATCGCTGGAAATAGACACGGACAACTGCACTTTTTGGTGAGTTTTGCGGTTTAAAGGGATTGCCAACGCTTTGGAGGTGCTCTATGTCGGTTCCGGAGGTCCAGGAAAACTAAGAGAAGCTCTAAAAACCTGGGAACCTTCCGGAGCGACTTAAACTTCAGAAAGCTTGATGAGCGTTTTTGAAGTCTAGCTTAGGCTTGCTGAAATCAATAAAAAACGATCTGAGCCTTCCAAAAGCTTACCCACCCTTACGAAGTAACTATTGCTTCCAGAAGCAAAGGATTTTAAACACGTAAACACGTAAAGCCGTCCGAGAAAGATTTTAAACTCCTAAAAACCGTTCATTTTCAGGACCTCTCCCTCCCCGAAATGGGCCAATGTGTCTGGGTGAACGACGGGATCAGAATAAACTGGATTCACACGCTGCGAGACAGCGTTGAGTCCCTGTTGGCGGCGGATTGCCAGAACAAGATCCGGCAGTTCGACTTCCACACCCGACAAATGAAGGTGCTGATCACCGAAGAGTCGGCGATATTGAGCATTGCGGTTCATGCTAATGAGAGGTGCGTTTTGAACGATTTTCAAGTATAAAAATATGCTTTTAGATACGCTCTACTTGCCACTCAATCCAACGGCCTCCGATTGTGGGACCTACACACCAGTACGTTGATGCGCAGCTTCGTTGGGGCCGATTACGGCCGGAAAATTGTGCAGCCAAGCTGGGGTGGTCCTGGAGATGCGTATTTTAGCTGTGGAGCGCAAGGTGAGAACGAGCGACAGCGGAGAGAGAAAGAGGAGGGGAGAGAGAGAAAAAAGAGGGGATTGAGAGAGAGGGGAGAAGAGGAAGGAAAGAAGGACGAATGAGGGGGAAGGAAAAAAGGGTAGAAGAGATCAACTTCAACATTTCCTTTCAGATGGCACCCTCTCCATGTGGAGCGCGGACTCGGCCAAGCCGGTCGCGAAGCTTGACGATATCCATCGAGGCGTCGTCAACTCGGTACGATGGAGTCCGTGCGATACCGCGATGATGATCAGCGTTGGGGATGACAAGCATGTAAGTATCGTGTCGTATCATAACCACGGCTACCACATGACCACATCCCGCTAATAGGTACGGTGAACGGCACCACAGGACGTAGCCTAACGTACCTTGCGCACGGAGACGTACAGTAAGGTAGCGTATGACACCGTAACGCAAGACTGCCATACCGAAGTATACCTACACTACGGGATACTTGCAATCACAATTATTACTTTTTCAGCTCCGCGTCTTCACCGCCAACCTCGTTCACTGCGCCGATAGCCGCCGCGCACGGCCGCAACGCGCCGCCCACCTCAGCGCCAACGGCGTCGGCGGCCACCGCTCAACACCGATACCTCAACTCGATTCGGGTCACAAGAAAAAGGTGAGCTTTTGTAGGCTTTTAGTTTATTTTCCGTTTAAAGTCATTGGTTTTTACGCTTCATCGACATTTTTAAAATTATTTTGGTAAAGTCCGGGCAGGCTAGCAGTGGTTTTTTGAGAAATTTAGATCCGTAAAACGCCGAAACTAGAAAATGGCAGAAAATTTCTACCTAGAAAACTTTCGTTTAGGCTCCCGGTTCGCCGATCAGAGCAAAAAGCACGTAGGGCGCTGCGCGCACGCGCCGCGCGGGTGCCTATCGCCGCCTTGGGCGCGATACGGTATTCAGGTGCAAAAAATGGAAAAATTGTGGAAAATTGTCGATTTTTAGCCGGTCAATCAGCTCGACTACCTCCGCCTTCAAGCCGTCGCCCGGGCACGCGGCTTGATCTTCTCCAACCCAGGATATGCCATTTAATGGGAAGGTGATAGCTCCCCTTACTCTCTCTCTCTCTCTCTCTCTCTCTCTGTCTCTCTCCCTCTGCCCAGTGCTCAGGTTATAATCGACTTATGTAATTCACCTTCACCTCATTTCCCAGTGTACATAGGCGCGTCGTGTAGTGGTTGTACATAGCTATCTTTTGGTATGCCTGTTTGCATTTTCTATTTTTTCATTTTTTTTGCTTTTGATACCCTACACCCACATCGCCTTGTGCCCCTCACCTCGATTATGGTATTGCGGACTGTGCTTTCTAAACATTGCGCTAGCCACACACACCAAAAATTGCCTATTTCTTAATGTACTCTTTGGTTTTGATGCCTGCCGCTTCTTCTTGAAAGTCTAAGCCTAAGCCTAAGCCTAATCGAAGCCTTGGCCTAAACCTAAGCCGAAGCCTAAGCTTAGGCCTAAGCCCAAGCCTAACCCCTCATCCGCTTTTCTGCTACTCGAATTCTCGTGCTTGTGATCGAATAGATGGTATGCCCTGGTCATAAAGGAATAAAGGAATTTTTGATAGCTTTGTAAATGAATAATAATTCAAAATATAATGATTACACTACAAAGGTCAACACACAAATAGGAGGAAGATCAAAGGTACTTTTATAGCAAATTAGTAGAATTAAACAAGTATAAACTCTTAAAAACCCACACGCCGCCGAAATTCATAGATTACGCTTTTTCCCGTTTCTGGCGTGTCAAATCTGTCATTTTTAGGGTCATCTCTGATAAGAAGGCAAAGGGGGAAGGCATAGACGCTGTCACGTAGTATTCCCGCTCATATGTTTTTCATGATTTTGAAAATATGCTGATTTTACGTTTTTTTTAGGGTCGACCTCAACTGGGGTGCTTTTGCCAAAATTACGGGTTTATCAAGGAACTCGTCCTTTTCATGAAAAGAGCTCCACCTACTACGATTTTTATGACTGATGGCACTGTTTCAGTATTTGAAGTAGGTTGCCTCACGCTTAATATAATGAAGAATCAGTTTCGTAAAGCTACTGAAAGACCGTCTGAAGACTAATGCGTGACAGGGCTTGCATGTTTACACTAAAATGTGGAAAAACGGAACTTCTCAATTTCGGGTGGGTATTTGAGGTACGTTACTTTAATATGATTATCAATAAAAAGCAGATTATCGAAGCAGTTCAAATCAAGCACTTTACGTTCGCTTTACCTTTGTTCTCAAAGACATGGTTTATCAAGTTATCGTAATGGTCAATCAAACGGAATCGAAATTAGTCGCATTTAGTGGTTGGGAGAAGCGGCAAATTCTGGCGGGCATATTTTTGCCCAGCACATGGTGCTGACGAAACAAGAAATGTGGAAAATGGTCGAGTAATTTTACAACTTCCTGTATCGGCTTCACTTTTGAGAACGTCAGTTTTCCAGAAATATATTCGCTACTTAAGATTTAATAGATTGAGCATGTCCGTACGGCTAACTGTCGGGTTAATGAAGAAATCCGCATTTTCATAAATAGAGCGGCTAGCTACTTTGATTTTTACGACTAATTAAAATAGAAATGAATTTTTTTTTGAGGTATGTTTTGCGAATCGCTTTTTTCTTCACAATTCTTTAATAAATTTAGCAAATTTAGCAATTATTATGGACTAACGAATTAGACTGTTTATATACGACCAGGGTTTCTCCATGTTTACGGAATAATCCAAAGTGATGAACCAGCCTAAGACCTGACTATGAGGGATAAAAAAAACTTTGCAACGCGCGAGCGGAACCGCCGTTTTCGATCATCCGCTCACGAACGAAAAGGGTGGAATTTATAGATATTCAAAGGTGGGTTAAAAATAAAAAAGGTGGTTTTTAAACACAGGGATCTCTGTCCCATTTTGTCTAAAAAATGTTGTTATTAAGACAAGAAGATGGCTAGTAAAACGGAAACGCAAAGTAGCTGGGAGAAGAGACATATTCTGGTCCGGGTATTATGGCCCAGCAAATGGAACGTAGGAAACAAGAATTTTGGAAAAGGTTGACGTGGCGATTTTACAACTGGCATCTACAAAATCAGGCACCATTTTTAAAAAACCTTAATTTTTTGGATATATAGTCTCTACTTAAGGTTTAATAGATATCAACCTGTCCGTACGGCAAGCTGTCGGGGTTAATGAGGAGATCCGCATTTTTATAAAGTTGCTTTGATTTTTACGACTGATTAAAATGGAAATGGAATTTTTGAGGTATTTATTTTCGTTTGGCTTTTTTCTGCGCAATTCGTTAGTATCATAAATGGTCAAAATATAATCATTGGCCATGGACTAACGAATTAGAGTATTTATATAGGAGGGGCGACGCAATGTTTACGGACACGATCTAAAGTTATGAACCATCCACCTCGGAACCTGACTATGAGGGATAAAGAAAACGCGGTAACGGAACGGACGCGATCGATCATCGGCTCTCGCTGGAAAGGGTTGGAATTTATAGATATTCAAAGGTGGGAAAATAAAAAAAGCAGCCAACACTTTTTAACACTAGTATTTTTGTGCTATTTGTTATTAAAAATATTGCCTAACCACAGCCTAGCCACAGAATGGTCCAAAATCGCTTGAGAGGCTGGGTGAAGGGACCCTTTCTTCACGGACAAATCGCGGTGTGGCAAAGAGGTTGGGAAAATATTCGACATGCTGATTTTGTAAGTGCTGACCGTAAGGTATGATTTTCAAATGAAACTAATTTTCCTGAAATCGTTTTTCCTTCTCCTTTTCTTATTCTTCTCTCAGCGCAACTTATCATTGTTGAATTACGCTAGCTATCCAAAAACATATTTTCTACCAAATATCGAAGATTTCCTAAGGTGTGCATATGCCAAAATGTCGGGCCGATGAGGAAACCGGTATCTTGATCAATAGAGCACCACATGTTATGATTTCATGGACTAATGATGGTTACGCAATTAAATTGTATACCCGTGCAGCTTACTTTAAAGTTGCACCATTTAGGCAGCTCTATCAATGAAAAAGCCAGATAACCGACGCAAACACCGATATAAAAGGCACGGGCACGGCAGCTTTAAGAATCTGAAAATAAATGTCACAATACGGAGGAATCGCGGAACGACCCGATGCTCCCCACGGATTCGTAAGCCATTTCTCGATTTTTTAACGGGAAAGATAATTTATTAAAGTATATCTAGTATTTATACTTTTAATAAGCAATAAAAATTGATTAAAAAGGAGCTAAGGAAAAACCTGAAAAACTATGAAGACTTTAGGCTATCGCCACAAGTCGTCTTCGGAGGCATCTTGGGGAAAATAATCTGAATTAATAAACGATCGATGAGCAAGCAAACTTGGATAAGAAAACAACGTTTGGTGCTCCACCCAAGCTTGAGTTTGAGCCCGCGCAATACCATATCTTGCTACAAACCTCTTTGAGTTCGAAGCTCCTTCCTAACGACGCACCTCAAAATTGGAAGCGAATTTTTTATGCGTTCGTTGAATACACAACCACTAATTTTGAAGCTGCTGCAATCAACGAAATTGTGAGTTATTTTATTTAATTCTAGCTGGAAAATAAGATTTGCGATAATGTTAAATCCATAATGTAGGGATTTCATAATTTTGATTGTAGTTGATAATTTTTGCTTAGAATTTAGAGCTTATTAGAGTTTTTGCGGGTGGTTTGCTTATGAAAAAAAATTTAAAAACATAAAATTAAGAAATTTCGACATTCTGAAGCTTCGGCGATATGATTTTCCACATTGTGATTTTCGACATTACGAAATTTGAAAGTAACCAGGCAATTCATACATTAGCAACAAAATGAATAGTGCTTTAGATAGTAAATGGGAATCGCTCTCAAATCAATATTACGCTGAATTGCGCTTTAACCCGCATGCCATTCGGAGCGCTGGCCTAAATGATCAACCACCAAGTGACGAAGGATGAAATTGATAGAAAAAATACGCTTGTGATGAATTATTGATGTTGAATGATGACCATGATGTGCTAATGAAGATACCGGAGGAATATTTGACTCTTGCCACAAACGGATTTGGGGAGCAGCTGAGGCGCAACGACGGGTAGGGCAGCAGACTGTAATTGGCGTTGTAAAGTATACCAAAATACTCATCAGAGCCAGACGAACATTTTGGTATACGTTACACTCATGTAGACAAATGGGGAGTCGAGATACAAGCGCTGGGGGCCAGCCGGCGTGACTAGAATACACCAAAAAAATCCGCAAAATGCCAAAAAATAACGATTTTGGTTTAGGAGTCAAGCGGAACGTCGACCACCCAATAGAGGTAATCAACAAAAGTCGTCAAGTATTTGCCTCGCTCACTGACAACGTTATCAGATCCTGGGGAGGTTCGGAGCGGCGGTCATACCAAACTATTTTCGCGTCACCAGAATGGTTAAAATGGATTTGAAATGGAATGGAATCAAGGCATCTGTAAGTACCTTTTGCGTTTTTTTTACCGTTGTAAAGCCGTTACGATGTGAAGCATTTTACCAACAAAATTCTAGACTAGTTTATTTTGTGGTACGTTACACTCCTGTAGCTACGGTGGGAGCGGAGATACAAACCTTTGGGCCGGGCGATGAGGGATAAACAGAACCAAAACAATCCGCAAAAGGGCTAAAACATTGGAATGACGCGATTGGTTTAGGATTCAGGCGGCACGTCGCACCGCATGTTGTGCGATTATACAAATACTATCGAGTGTCGCATCGCCAGCTGAGAAATTATGAATGAAAACTTGAAAGATCTAGCGGTTGCGGTTACTTCAACCTTTTTCGCGTCACCGAAATGGTTAAAATGGATTTGAAGTTGAATGGAATCGAAGCTCCTGTAGGTTTCTTCTGCGGTTTTCTTGCCGATGTGAAGCTTTAGCCGTTTGCAGCATGTGGAGATGGATTTCCTGATGAATCTTTGCCATGAATTTAGGCTGGAATCTATAGCAAACGCCGGTTGGCAGCCTTCATGCACAAGTTATAAACGAGTATCAGCGAAGATAGTGATTGAAGGAGACCATGTACTCTTGATGGAATAGAGAAACCGAAAACACACCCTGTTGCTTCTCAACAATCGTATTTGAGCAACAGCGGAGCTACCTCGACAGGTATCTGCTCCAGTGATTATTTTTTAGTATCTACATCTCAGATAGTCCAAAAAACCAAAGCCGCAGGCTTATCAAATTGTTAATATTGATATCTAATTCAAAGGTAGATTTAAAAAGCCAAAGTATGGGCCTCGGCGCGCACTCGGAGACATGATCGAAAATTGCCAAACAAATAGCGAGGCCGATGAACGACTCGACGTTAACTTCAGTTCATTAACACGAACGCGTATCTCTTCATTTGTAAATCGATATGACAGGTTTGTAATGGTTGAATATTACACGACACGGACAGAGGATTTCGGCTACCGTTTACTTTCCCCCAGCCGGAATGTTGTTCGACTGACTGACGTCGGTTCTTTCGAATTATCGGGGGACGGGACCAGGGACGTAGCGTAATACCGGCCCCGGGGACCCGCCCCCAAATCGGCCGGGGCTCGAAAATTTCATAAGGGGGGACCATTATGATTTTTATTTTCTCAAAAATTTTGCGGCCTGCGGCGCTATTTTTGCACATTTTTACGGCTATTTGTAGAGCGATGTCACCTTTTTTTCAAAAACTTTTTTTCAATTTTGCCTGCGGCGCTGTTTTCTCGTTAATGTTTTGAGTTTTTGGGAAAAAATTTTTGGGCCCCGAAATTTTTTTCTGGCTACGCCCCTGGACGGGACTGGTTACATTTTATTATTTTTCTTATATCGATACAAGAAGTGTTTCTAAATTGCTTTGCTATTCCTAAACGTAAAAAATGGATAAATTTTTGATTAGAAAACTCCAAAAAATGTGGATTCTTCCGAACATGACTAGCCCATTTTTGGCAAAATCTTCATCAAAAATTTTTCTAAGTTTATATTATTTATCGTTTTATTTATTCTATTTCAAACATCTTAAATGTTACTAAAACACTATTGGAACCCATACTATCAAGTACCTAAGCATTCCTGGGCTCATAGAAAAAGTTGGTCTCCCCGATGATGCGAAAGCACCTGAGCGTCTATTATTTTTCACGGAAGCAAAATTTAATCAATATCTATCAGAATGAATTAGTGACTTTGGAATTTTTCGAATTCCAACAACAACCTTAGTAAGTTTTTTCAGGATCCAAATCAGTGGTACAAAGAAATAGAAGAAGCCTGCAACGTTAAAAAAGGCTCGTCAGGGTTAGCTAGCAGCGTGGAATCAATATGTGATTCAGTCGCGAGATGGATAAAAATCTACCAAATATGAAGTCAACGAACATTTAAAGGCATTATTCTAGCCTTGACGTCTGAATTTGACCACGAGGAACGCGATAAATGCCCCAGAAAATAAGCAAATTTCGAGAGCAATTAATTTAAGGGGTAAATCCCTGCTTATCGCAAACCTAACCAGGATTTTTTAGGGCCGAACTACCCTAGAACTCCGACAAATGTGGCGAATGCGACAGCGAGGCTTTGACCAAGATATCAACGCTGTCAGCCATGAAGCACCGCAATTTTTACTTCAAAACCATCCCTTACTGTTTTCGCATCAGAAAAAGCACTGGCCAAACTGCAATGTTTGCAACATTGAAATTAATCAAAATGCGGATGCTGATTGATGAGTGTGATCTGTAATAAATATTTTTAACGTATATCAGTTCACAAAGAAACTGGTAGGCCGCATCCCCCAACTAAATTTTTATTTATAGGGTTATTATGGGGATTTTTAGGTTTATTGCTAATTTTTTCGCGATATGCTGATTTGGCTTAGGTTCAGGACGGCAATGGCTATTTTTCGATATTATTGCTAGTCGTAAATTCCGGTTCTTTCGCATTATCGGGGGGCCGGGGAGCAGTTTTTTTTGTGCCATCCATTTTTTGAAATATAAATAGCGGAAATGTTTATAGACTCTATTTTTACTATTCCTCAATGTACAAAGTTTAAAAATTGTATTAAAAATACAAGTAAATCTTGATTTTTCGGCAAAAAATAGCCGGCCTGGCCGAAATTTCGCTTTATTTTTTAAAATGCTTTGGATTGCATTTTTATATTACCAAAAAACTAATAAAACACCTTTTAATAACTTAGTAAAACAAACAGAAAATTCTTATACAAAAAAATTCGGTTCTATGAAATCCCCACTGCCTCCCCCGATAATGCAAAAGATCTACAAGCTACAAGCCCCAATTTTATTTTCGGCGGTTTGTGCCCGACTTTTCTCAATCCAAATTTCAAATTCCAAAATTAAACGATTGTTCAGGTATTCGACGTAATTTCAAGTGAACTAGGTTACAAATAGCTTTTCGAACACATATTTAGTCTCCAAAAAGCCCGGGGGGAACACTTTTTTGCTAGATAAAAACCGGCCGTTCGTGCCGTCCGCCCGGCCGCTGTAAAGGTATACAAAAAGCCATCGGCCCCAGGGCTTTTTGGCGCAAAAGTGTTGCGATTTTCCTGAGCTTTGTCTCATTAGATCCCTTTTATCATTGATTAAAGATTTCAAATCGCTATCGTTTTTTGCCAATTTCTCAAGAAGATATGTTTTGAAAAATTGGGGCATTCTCTGATAATTTTAACCAATTTTTACACTTTTTCCAGGTCCTGATCTCAATTTGGGTGATTTTTCCACAAACGCGGACTCACAAAAACCCGCTACAATTGCTTCATCATTGGTGCTTCAGACATAATTTATATGGATCAAAAAGGGTCATTGCAATCAAGCCATGCACGGCCCGATAATTTAAAGTTGATCGTCGTGAAAAGTGAGAAACTCTACGACATAGCCTAATTTTGTAGCGATCTACCGTATTTCCTCTAATAGTGTGGATTACTCTGGAGCCGAAAAACGCAAAAAAGGTGAAGTTTCTGCTTGACAGTGCGATTTTGAGTGATTTTAACCTTCCCATAGCGAAAAATTTGTGTTTAGGTCCAAATCCAACCATTTCACCCCCGAATTCCAGGAATTCAGTCGAGAAAAAAATCAGCCCCCTCTATTATAACCCCCTTCTAATACAAGCCCCTTCCCCGGGTGATTAAAAAAATGCAACGCCCGGGGTTATATAAGAGGAAATACGATAATGTTCAATAAATTGCATTTTTTAGTTCGCGACCGGCTTGGTCCGAGACTCCTTTCCAAGATTTTTATTTATTGAAATCGTAATGACATCGCATGTAAAAAGGTAAACAGAGTCGTCAGCGAATCGCAAACGAGACTTGCTTATCCCCTCTTCAAAGCCTTACTACGGTATAATTTTTTCAAGCGTAGAAGTGTTCAAAAACGTTACCACTCTAGCTTTTTTCTTTTCTTCTCTTTACCCCCTGTTTTCTAGCCATCGGCAGCCTGGAGATCGAACAAAGCTAAACCAATATGCTTTATTCAATGCAAGTCTTCGCCCAACGAAACACCACCGCTGCCGAACAGGTTACTGTCTTCGTACAAGTCCTCAAAAAGATAGTCTCTCACCTCATAGCCCTAGGTTGTGTGGTTTTTAGCCTCACAATTGCTCAACACTGTTCGTAATCTCTATCCATGCTTCAGAACAATATAAAAAATGGCAAACGATGTGAGGAATGTTGTGTTTGCTACTTTTCCAAAGCTGATAGTCACGTAAGGTAAGAGAATATTACAAGCTAATCCTAAGGACACATCGAGCTTTTTTCAGTATCTTAATTTGAGTTTTGATTGACTGATAGCCGTAACGTGAAATAGATCTGAAGGTATTTGTTGATTTCATGGATAGAAAGGGACCTCAATCGATTGAATCGATATGGCATCGAATGTAAAAAACACTGCCAATCGCAATACGGACCTCACAGAACCTACGGAAAAGGTCGTTCATCGTCTATTCATCGCTTCGGTATGTCCTTTTCAGCCTCGCAAATTACCAAAATAGGCTTATAACTATTTGATGTTTAGAAACCTAGATGAAATGGCAAACGAGACGAAGAAAGTCTATGGGAGCTACTTTTCAAAACTGGTGGTCAAGGAAGGTGAGAGAATATTACAAGCTAATACAATTGGCATATCGTGCCATTTTTCAGTAACTTAACCGATGTTTTTAGTAACCAACAACTTGGGCTAGAGGCAAAATGAAGCTGTGGATTTACTGATTTGTTGATGGAACCAAAAGCAAAAGACATCAAAGTCAGAAGATCCCTAAACGATGCTATCAAAACGCTCGTTTCTTGTCGCCTGATTACTTCATGGAACACTTTACGAAGGTTCAAAAATTGTGGTAATTTTATCAATTTTTATTTTAGCAAAAATCAGTATTAGTACGCAACCACGCGTGCGGCGTACTGCCCATATAATTTGACAGGCTATAGGCTGGTCGTGATGAAAGGTGGGAAAATGTTACATCGTAATCCTAATGACTTATCGAGCTAGATTTCAGTATTTTTCATCACTTTAATTAGTGATTTTAGTGGCCCAGAGCATCGAGATCGAAAAAATTAAGCTACGTATTTATTGGGTCTAAACATCCAAATTTTGGCAGAAGAGTACGACGCTGCAGTGGGGATAAAACGCGCCGTTTCTCGTCGCGTCAAAACCTAGCGGTATGTGTCTTTCTTATGCCTCAAAAATACTAAAAACAGCTGCAATATGAAATTTTAAAATTGCTGTTTTATTTTAGAAGTCCGCGATATTTGAGGAATCGATCTGGAAGTGAAAATGTATATGCCATTCCCTAATGTGGCTATGTGCCAGAAAAAATAAGGTGAGGGAATATTACCACCGAATACTATTGGCATATCGAGCCATCTTTCAGTGACTTAACCAGTGTTTGTAGTCACCCATTGACTTGCTTTAGGATACAAAAGGAACCTGTGGTGAATGATGGAAAAAAGCAGGAAAAATCAAAACCAGATGATGCCTCAATGACGCGATGAAAACGTTCGTTTCTAGTCTCCTGATGACTTCAAGAAACGTGAGCCTTTCACCTGTACAAAGGTTCAAAAAAGCAGTCATTTTCTATTTTTGATTTTACTGAAAATCGATATCAGTGGGCCATTACGCGTGCTGCACAATGCCCATATACCTTGACTTGCTATAGGCTGGCCGGGATGAAAGGTGAGAAAATGTTACCTTGTAACCCTAACGAAAGATAGCGCTCGAGCTATTTTTCACTACTTTAACCAGTGCTTTCTAGCCACCGATAGCCTTGAGATCAAATTTCAAGAGAAGCAAATCCTTGGTCTCCGGAATCAAACTGCTCGTTACTCGTCACGTCGTAACTTAGCGGTTTGTGTTCAGATTTGAGTTACTAAAAATACTAAAACAGGCTTGCAACTGAAATTTTTTAAGTTGGCCCAATTTTATTTTAGAGGTACGCAAGAAATTCGGGATCACTGTGGAAGCGAAATATCCATGTCATTCCCTGATATATGAAAGGTAAGATAATATTACAAGCTATTGTTATTGCCATATCAAGTTATTTTTCAAAAATGAACCAATATTTTTAGTCACCGATAAACTTTAGATAAAGGAAACTAAAGCCATGCATTTATTGACTCGACGAAGGATTTACAAGCAAAAAACATCAAAGTTAGAAGATCCCTAAACGACGCAATCCAAACACTCGTTTCTCATCTCTAGATGACTACAAGAAACACGAGCCTCTCACCTTTACAAAGGTTCAACAAATAGTGGTAATTTTATCAGTTTTTTTTTGGCGAAAACTCTGTGGGCGACTACCTGTGTTGTATCACGCCCGGTGGCTTTGATTTGCTATAGGCTGGCCGTGATCAAAGGTGAGTAAATACTACAAAGTACATATCACGAAAAGTCACGACATATCCAGCTAGATATCACTACTTTAGTTAGTGTTTTCTAGTCACCGACAGCCTTGAAATTGAACAACGCCTATTTTTCGAATCACCTCGCGGCAGGGGTTGTATTATAGGCATCCATAATTTATAGGGAGGTATATATTTTTCATAATTTTGAGCAATTAGAACGTTTTCTAGCAGTTCAAACTGCTCACAACCCGTCGGGAACACAGTACGAAGCCTGAAACAAACTTTTATGAATTTTTTTGCTTCTTAGAGGCAACTTTGAAAATTTTTTGGGGTTTTATTAGAGGTATATTAGAGGAACTACGGTAATTTTTACGTGCGATGATATGTTTTTAGGAGGTTGTAGCCTGGAGGCCGAGGCACCACCACCTTCGGACCCCAGAGTTGGATGAAATTTTTGTGAAACGACGTGAAGAAGACGTTTTAATTGAAGTACGCTATTTGACGGGAAATGATGGCCGCAGGCGGCCGTAATCGTCATTACTTAATATTTGGCGTAATGAGCTGCCGAAATTACCAAAAATTGGTGGGTTTTCAAACAGAGGGACCACCTTTAATAAAGACATCCTTACATCTTCTTTTATTTAATTTAGCTATCGATTGGCAGTAATAGTACTGTCGAGGGCACGGACAATTCGAAGAATGTATACAATTTTTATTGGCTTTTCAACATTTTTTCGAAGCCGACGACGAACAAACGCAAGCGCACCAGGACCGAATCCAGCATGTGAAAATGGCTAAAAGTATTAAAAAACGTTACGAAATTCGATGATTGGATACCCGGTCAAAATTTATGGAGAAATATTGGGGTCGGTTTTAAAATTATAAAATACAAAGTAAGATAAGAATAAGTAGATAAGATATAAATCAATGACCAGTGGGTTTTGATACAGGCATACCACAGGCTTTCCAAAAAATCGACCCCCTCTAGCGGCCCCGAAAAGGCTCGGATCGGGAGGATAGACCGAAATTGGAAGCATAGGCTAATTTTATGATTATTAATTTGTTCTAAATTAATTAATTATAAATAATTTGATATATAGAAGAGTTGCTTTATATTTACTTGGATAATATTGCAGCCGTTTCAGAAACACTGCCAATCGACGTATGCCGAAACGTCATGGAGTGCTGAAGAAATAAAAAATCGAAGATCACAGCAAAATGCGGGGCAGATTCGCCTAAAAATAAAACTTCACGGTATCGCTCTTCAGAAAAAAAAATTAAAAATGGCGACGGCGTACCGCCAAAATAACTCTTCAGTTAAAGGTTAGTTTACAAATAGCGGGAAGAAGATGCCAAATTTTTTAAGGAATCCCGTATGGGCCTATAGGGAAATAGAAATCATTTTTGTAGCATTGATGCAGTTTTTTGAATTTAAAAACCCGATAAAAATCATAAAATTTTTACTCTGCCACCTCCCGACCCCCGGTAAGTCCAGTACCCAACAGCTTCTTCAGATCTTACTTTTTTCAGCGATGCACAAAGCTTTAAAATCCTTACTCTTTTGATAGTTTTAATTTTCGGGTTATACCTTCATGCTGCTGCGACAAGAAGAAGCTGAAAATACTGT